TCGACGAGGTCGACGGCAGCCCGCCCCGCGGATGCAAGGGCAACCACCTGCGCCTCAGTTGGCACGGAGCGGGCGGGAAGGCGAGCTTCTCGAGGAAGCCCTCGCCGCATTACTGCCAGCTGACGAACAGGACCTGCAAGTGGGTCCAGGCAGCAATGGCGATCAGTCGGCGCAGCGCGCCGCGATCCCCTCGGCGCTGGGACGTGAGTCTCGGGTCTCTGACGCACGCGAGCAACCTGCCTGCCGACCCGCCCGCCGTCGGCAGGGGTAGAGGGAGAAGATCGCGCTGGGCGGCATCTCCGCATGACTGGCGCGCGCGGAAAAAAAAACTGGGCCCCTGGCGCACTCCCCGAGCGGCGACTCGAGGTCCAGCACGAGAACGAAGCATGGACCCCTACCTTCACGACCTCGAGATCAGGGCCATGCAACAAGCCTCCGCGACGGAGGAGGGCCTGGCATCGACCCGCGAGCACATCGGCGGGCGCTGGGCATTCAGCGGCGCCCGCGACCCCCGCCTCAGAAACCCTTTTGCCTGAGGTGCCCTCCACCGCGCGCGGCAACTGCCGCCCCCAGGCCTTGCCGCCAAGGGGGCGCGCTCGCACCCTGGGCTGCTGCTGGCGGCCCAGGCTCGCGCAGAAGCACCACCCGATGACCCTGACCGCGACAGCTGCCGAACTGCGGTGCCCGGGAGCGCGCGCTGCGGGCGGGCGCGCCGGGCTCCGGCGGCGCACGGACGGGCGGGGGGCCCGTCCCGGGAGTTGCCCTGGCGCGGCCGCGACCCGCCAGCGCGCGAGCGGGGCCAGGCGCGCCCGTCTCGCCGTCGGCGAGTCGCTGGCGCCGATCGGCGAGCCGCTGCTGCCGCTGCTGGAATCGGGCTCGCTTCTTCTGAGCGCGAGAGGTGGCGGGGGCGTCGGCCTGTGATTGCCTGCTCGCTGCCTGGGCCTGCTGTTGCTGGCCTGCGGCAGGGCGGGCCCCCGCCGCGGTGTCGGCGGGGGCTCGACGAGCGCCCCCACTCTGCGCGCAAGCAGATAGGTGACTCACGCCTGGGGGACGCGCGCCCCCCCCGAGGCGCTGGCAGTTTCCGAGCTTTTCCTGCCTTTCGTGATCTCATCCAGCTTGGCTCGGAGAATCTCGCTCTTGGCCGCGAGCGCCCTCTCCCCCTCGCGCGCCAGGCCGATGCGCGTCGGTGGAATGAGCTCGTGCTGGCGGGCGAGCGTCGGGGTCGCGCCCGAGGACTCCAGCTCGACGCACTTGAAGCGCTGCGTGAGCAGGTCGCCTACACTCGCAAGGTCGCCACGCGTCAGCGAATCGAGCGCCTCCGCGAGAGTCCGCAACTCGCTGCTGGCCCGCTCCCCGACCTCGGCGGGGGGGCGTGCCGCGTGGAACGCGGACGTCAAGTACGTCACGAAACCCGACGTCATGAGGCCGCCATTGGTGGAGTCGCTCGCCCCTTCCCGCGAGGCCAGAAACCGGTCTACCTCCTCCACTGCGAGACCGAGTGACTGGCCAGGATGTGCCCTCGCGAACGCGACGATGTCCTGATCGTCCGCGCCGCGGGTCGGGGCTACTACACGAAAAAACGGCTGGGCACCGCCCTCCACGTCGTCGGCGCTGGCTGCAGGAAGGACCCTGGCACGTCGCTCGCCTGGGCGAGGGCCTGGTAATTGACAGTCGGGACGGTCAACATTGAACATGGGCGCCTGGTCGCGAAGCGTCTCCGCGATCCTTGGGGTCGCGGAGGGTGGGGGCACCGCGCCGTCCGCTGCCTCCGTCGCGCCCCATTTCGTCCGGAGGTCCTGGAGTCGTTCCCGAAGGGCTGCGCCGGTAGCCTGCGCCTCTCTGAGGCCTGGAGGGCGGCGCCCCGAACCCCATCGCGCAATGGCAGCCCTGCAGCGTCGAGGACGGCCGCGCCGCCCCCTCCTCGAAGCGCCGGGAGGGAGCCGTCGTCGACCTCCGCGTCCTCGCGACCCTGCGGGCCGTCACCCGCTCCGCTGCCAGCGACGTCGCCTGCGACGAATGTAGGAGCCTCCCACTCCGCCGCGCCCAGGGTGCGAAAGCGGCGGAGGTGCAGAGGGACCTCCCGTCGGCCTCCTGCTCTGGATTCTCCCTCACCATGGGCTCGGAGGCGCCAGGTAATTTCCCTTCGAAGAGCCTCTGCGTGACGCCGTCGGCGGCGCGGTCGAGCGTCGCCTCCAGCAACGCCCCGCGCCCACGCCCTCGCCAACGAACCGGAGCGTCGATCCGGGCGACGATGAGGCCTAGCCGAACCGCGCCACCAGCGATGTACGGTTCCGCCTCAATGGTGCTTCCAGCCACTAGCCGCCTCTCCTCGTCGTCGAGGAAGCACGGCTCTGTGTGCTGGAACCAGCGCGAAGGTCGGCGCGTCTCTGCGCCGCGACCCTTCCCGCTGCTGCCCGCGCGCAGCTCTGACTGCCTGTCGAGGGTACCAGCAACTGGGCCGCGCTGGCGCGACTCTCCACGACCGCGCCCGCGACCTTGCCCGTCGCCCCCACTACCCCGGGGAATAGATCCGTTCCCAGCCAGGGTCGGCGCCGCCTCGCACGGACCCGCGGCGACCTGCTGGCAGAACCTGCTGGCCGGCGCCCCGCCGGTGGGGCTGACGACCGGCTGGCAGGGCCTGCAGGCTTGGGTTTCACTGGCACGGCAGAGGCGCGAGCGGCTATGCCGCACCACGGGGGGCGAGAGCGGCCGCGGGCGCTAAGTTTGCAGCGAGGCCTCGAACCCGCTTCTCTGGCCTGCTGCGGATGCGGTCTACGGAAGCGTCGGCGACCCAGGTGTACCTGAGCCGCCGGCGAAGAACACCAAAATTGCTTGACCCAAAACGACTCCGGAGGACGCATGGCGCGGCGCAGAGGCCTGCAGACACCCCCATCGATATTTCCAGCTCGTCGCTAAGTGATCGTTCGCATCGAGAGTGAAGGCCCTCGGAGGCTACGCAATGGGGCGTCGGACCGGGTACAAAAAAGGCGGTCGCCTCTCGAGCTCCGCAGTTCCACCCCTGCGCGCCCCCGCCTCTGGCGGAAGGGGCACTGCAGGAGAGGCGCCCCGAGCCCCCTTTTTCTAGGGGGGCGGCGGCCATCAGCAAGGCCCAAATCAGCCTGTAGCACACGCATGCCAACACTTGCGGGCAGGGGAGAAAAGGATCGCCCCAAACACAGACTGAGGCGCACCCCTCCAGGGCGAGGCTCCAAAAAGTGTAGAGACGGTCTGTGTCATTCCCTTCGTGGCCTATAGCGGGGCATGCCGCAGGCCAGCGCTGTCTCGAGGCGCACAACTTGTTCCATAGCGAAGCCTACCCAACATCCTGACCACCGTCGGGCGCAAGGAAGGGTGAACACACGAGTAAATGTGAAGTCGCAGAAGATCGGGCAAGTGTTACGGAAAGTGGCGTGCATGATGGCTGAGTCTGCGTCCTTGGCGAAGCAACGACGGCAACTGAGGAGCACATGATCTCCAAATATGTACCGCACGTAGCACACGACGAGGGCACAACGCCTCCCCATTGCCCTTGCTCCTCCCAGTAGCTTGAAATCATTATGCACGCAGCATTTGGAAATTTAAACCAATTGGGCGGCTAGTCAGCGCTCACCTCACCGACAAGGAACGACGCGTGGGTGCACCATCCAATCGTCACAGCAGGGGTGCCCAACTCGTACTCGACCAGAGGTTGATCTCTGCTGGGCGTACTTGCGATGGCCTCGTCATCCTTGGCAGTCGCAGCAGCACCTTGGGCCTCGATGTGGTTGGTCGCAGCGTTCTTGGGGATCAGGTACGGCACGGACGAGGCGTGCAAGGAAGCCATTGCGAGCGGTCGGGCTGGGAATTGCGACCCAGCTCGGGAAAGGGAACGGCTGTGATAATCCTTGAGCCAAGAAGGCTTCCGCCGACCTTCCGCCGCCATCCGCCGAGGAAGAGATGGCAGCTCCTTCGATCCTCGAAGGCAAGGCCCTTCTGTGGAACGCCCCACAGATGTCCGATGCTGGAAACCTCGACACCCACACATGCCGATGCCTCCAAATGTGTTGCTCCCGCCGCTGTGTTTCGTTTACATGCGTCGGCTCCTCCCCCGCCGAGGGCGAGGCGCGCCGAAGGGGAGGGGCCTTTTCTGGGGAGCAACCTCGAGGAGGGGGAGGAGGAGGGGGAGGAGGAGGAGGAGGAGGAGGAGGAGGAGGAGGAGGAGGAGGAGGAGGAGGGGGAGGAGGAGGGGGAGGAGGAGGGGGAGCAAGAGCAGGAAGAGGAGGAGGAGGAGGAAGATGGGGAGGAGGAAGAGGAGGAGGAGGAGGAGGAGGAGGAGGAAAAGGAGGTGGGGGGAGGACGGTGCCCGAAAATTCAGCTTCTGGACCATGGCCCTGAGAGCGGACGAAAACGACTGCGACAACTTCTTCCCGCTGCCGCGCCAAGCACACAACTACGAACTGCGACAGGCAACCTTCTACTCACTGCGCGCGTTAGCGCATCCATGCGCAAGTGTACTACTTGTTCTGGATTGCTCCTCGCTCGCCAACCACGGCGTGATAACTGCAACGTAGCTGTCGATTCACGCACGCATTACCATTCGCAGGCATGTCATTGCGTCCGCTCTAGAGGCTTACTACATGGGGTCGGAAAAATGTAGTCGGAGGATCGCGCCGCAACGCCGATAAAACGGCGATGCATCGGCGATGCATCGGTGATGCGCCAGTGATGCATCGTCGACGTCGGCGATGCATCGGCGACGTCGGCGTGAAGCAAATCGGGCTCCGCATGGAGCCGCATCGGTGATACATCGGCGTTGCGGCGCAATCCTCCGACCCAACTACTCTGACCCCGTCTGGGAGGCCTAGACTCCGACGAGGGACGGTGATCCCGATCTTGGCGCTGGCCGAAGGGTTACCACCAGCACCAAAGTCAGGGATCATCTTCCCATGGCGGAGACCCACGCACTGTGTCCACTCATGGTTGGAAGAGCCTCCCCCCCGCGCAGGATGGGCGGGCGGTGCCCCAGTACAGCGCCAGCAGCCACCCCGGGGGCGCAGGCCCGTGGACTCCGAGGCGGCCCGCCATAATGAGCTGGAAGTTGAGCACCTGCTCTCGTCTTCTTCTCTTCGCAAGGCTGCGGGTTCCGCGCGCCCCCCTGGTCTGCGCCCACACCCACGCCCACGCCCACGCCAACGACCGCGCCCACGCCCACGCCAACGCCCACGCACGCGCCCACGTCCACGCCCACTCCCGCACCCACGCCCAGACCCAGGTGGATAAACTCGCACAGGCGTGCGCACGTGTCGGTAGATCAGCGGGGCCAATGATGTGCACCTCAATGGGACGCACGAGCGGTGCACCTTTGCGGGCCATGGACGTACATCGTCGTCCGTCCCTAGACCCCCTCTCGGACTACTCGCACGTTGCGTTTGACGACTACGGCCCGCAAAGCATAGAGCACCAGACCACCGAGCGCACCCCACCACGGCGCACCTGCTGTTCCTCCTCCTCATCCTCCTCATCCTCCTCCTCCTCCGACCCCCATCTCAAATACTCCGTAGCCATTTTGGGTCAAGCCATTTTGACCCTTGCACACAACCACTGGATACCGTAGTCCGCGGCCAATCTCCAGTGCGTTCGCGTGCGGTCCGCCCTGCACGCGTTCCTTTCCCACTGGTCAAGGGGATTGCAAGAGCCCAATGTGATGAGTCGTCTGCTGTCTTCGATGGTGGGTGGGCGTGCTGGCAGTGCTGGGAACTACTTCCAAAAGAAACAGACGGAGGCAGCATCGGCATGGTGTTGCAAGTGGTGCGTCAACTCTCGGACCGGAGCTCGTTGGTGGAACCACGTCGACAAGCCAAGCTGCTCGCTCCGCGGAGCAGCGAAGGGAAGTTCCTTCGGGTGGGATCGTGACGAAGGCAGTCCCCAAACTACGTCAAAGCGCGTGTCGGGCAGTCTCCAGGATGCACAACAAAGGCACGCCGAGTGGGCGCCTATCGATAAGGTCAAGGCTCAGAAGGCAGCAAAGGACAAGGAGATCGCGAGGCTCCAGTCCGCAGGTGCTGCCGAGGAGGTGCCAGAGGAAGGGACGGCTGACACAGGCGACGACGACGAGGCGAGGCTCTCCGAGTTTGGGGGCGACGCTACGTGCGATCTGCAGCAGTACGGATCCCATCCTCTCAGCATCACGTGATCACATTCACAAGGAGGTGGGAACTGTCAAGCTCAAGAGGTTGGCAGCGAAGCTCTCTGCGCGCAGCTCCACCAAGTCACCAATCGCCGCCAGGCTCCCGAAAAGAAGCGGGACAAGCAGACGGCGGCGATTGACGGTCTACGATCGGCTCAGGCCAAGCATGCGAAAGGAGGTGGTGGAGTCTCAGGAGATGCTCTCAGGAATCCGTGCGGAGCTGGCAAGCCTCACAAACAAGAGGAGGCAGATCGCCGCCGCCCCCCTCCCCCTCCTATGACGAAGGTCGGTGAGACGCCGTCCCTCAGGTCAGTGGTGGCGGGCATCGGCTGCAATATTGACGAGATCGGTAAGATGTTACAAACGCTTGGAGGAGACGAGAGCCTGCCGAAGGAGGTTGTCACGTGTTCGGTTAAGTTGCGAGAGCTCGACAAGCCTGCAGCTGCTGCAAATTAAACAGCAGCAGCAAGCAACAACGCAGACTCTGTTGGCGGGCGAGGTGGATATTCCAAGGCTGTTATCGACATTGCCGTGCCAATGGACGAGGACGACCTCAAAGAGATGCGGGAGTTCTACGAGGCCGCCTGCGGTGAGGGCCCCCAAGCCGCGGAGCAAGATCTTCGGGCAGCTGTCAAACGGCCTGGGCGAGGCGTGCGGCAACCAGACGTGAGGTTGCATATCAGAGTGTTTCCAGTGGTATGTTTATGGATGTTGAGGTGCTTGGTGGCTACGTGCTCGTGTTCGGTGGCGTCTGCTACTACGATATGGGCCAACACGTCGCTAAGCCGAGCCAGGACAGGCGGGGTGGGTGAGACCACCAGCGCTTAAGGTCTGATGCCCCCCCCCGCCAGGGTTGAAACGCAAAGGTCGGGACGTGGTGCTGCCACTTCGAGCTAGGACAGGTTGGGAGGGTGAGTCCGCTACCGCTGCAGGTCGAGATGCTGTGATGCAGCACTGCAGTAGGAGTGATGTCCGCCCCACACCAAGCTCGAAAACTCATGGTCTGGTCAACGTGGAGGTGTTGCTGATCAGAGATGTTGGCGGGTCAAGGCAAAACAGTTTGACGTGGCAAACCCTGCTATTAATAAGGTGGTCTCTCGGACACCGCCGCTTCAGTGCTACTCAGGTACGGACATCAACTTCGGCGATTGGGCGAAGCATGTGGACGAAGTGACTGAGGCCGAGTGCGAGAGCAACGATCGTGCTGTGCAGATGGAGGCGAGAGGCCACATCGTCACGATCAACGCTTCGTCGTACGGGCTGATACTCAGGGTGTTCAGGAAGCAATCGTATGCTGTCGACGTGGGTATGTCAGGGGTGTAGGGTGTAGGTTCCAGCGACCAATTCGGGACGACCAATGTGTGGATCTCGTATTTCCATTCCCCCGATGGCCGGCGATCCTGTCTTGGTTCCTGGCAGGGCTGCTGCTGGTCGTGCGCGGTGGGGCCCCAAAGGCGGAGTGGTTTTCATCTCGCTGTATCTTGGCGTGGAAGTCGAGGCCCACCAAGACCTCCAAGGGGAACTCGAGGGCCCTCAGCATCGGGAGCCTGCGGCAGGTGACGACGAGGACGCGAAGCAGGCCACGCCGTAATTCGGCTTCACGGACACAACACCAAGCGTTTGCGCAGACATTTTGAAGTAGCTTGCCTTTGTACTCCCGAGGCGCCCGGCCCTGCCTCTTTGGAAAGGCACGGAGGGCGTGGACAAGCCTAGCAGCACAAACCCTCAGCCCTGAACGTGCCGCTTCCGTCCCCATGCGTGGAACCCCGGCCTCCGTCCTCCCGATCCTCCTCCTCCTCCTCCTCCTCCTCCTCCTCTGAGCCTCTCCTCCTACTCCTCCTTCTCCTCCTCCTCCTCCGCACTTGGTCGACGCCCTGGGGACCGCGGGGGAAAGCCAGGGCTGTTCACTGTCTGCCGAGTCCGAGCAGAGCCAGCCAGCCATCATACCGCTAGAGCGAACGAAGCTTACCCTGGGTACTGCAAAACCATGGCCGCGCTGGCGGATAACTTCAGAGGCCACAATATAGCTTGGTTTCAGTATCTAGACAATTCGGGCACCCTCATCCTTTGCCAGAAGTGTGGAGCCTATAACGAGCGCGGCTCAGGTCTGTCAGGAGAATGCAAACTGAGTCCCCCCGAACAGTGGTGCACCTTTGCGCCCCGCCAGAGCTCTCTGCCCTCAGCATCCCAAGAGCGGGAAGCACTCTCCGGTGATGTTCAGACCTCCAGTCCCCCTGGCATAATTCCCCGGTGGCAACTCATGGGAACCTCCCATACCATCTTGACGGCTCTAGTTAGATCGACGCGAATCGACGCTACATCGACGCCACTCGACGCTACATCGACGCTAAACCAGCGCCATCTCATCGACTCCCAGACGCGCATCGACGCCAATCGACGCTAGAGACAGAATTGCGAGGGCAGACAAGGCCCCCAGGATGTGCGACCGAACAGTTCTACAGGCAGGCTGTTCGATCTGCCCTGCATCCCCGAGAGAGAGGCGCCCGCCCCGAGGACAGGGGCGTGGAGGAAGGGAGCGGCCCTGGGCCCCGAGAAGGAGGAGGAAGAGGGGGAGGAGGAGGAGGAGGAGGAGGAGGAGGAGGAGGAGGAGGAGGAGGAGGAGGAGGAGGAGGAGGAGGAGGAGGAGGAGGAGGAGGAGGAGGAGGAGGAGGAGGAGGAGGAGGAGGGAGAAGAGGACGGAGGAGGGTCGCAGGCTCCTGCCCCAGGAGGCAGGGATGCCCTCCTGCCGCCGCGGGGCGGCGATCACGGTGGATAGGCCGCAGGCCTGGAGCCCCGAGGCTTCGGGTCCGAGTCGGGTCGGCCGCCCGTCAGCCATTACCTCATTCGCCAAGCGAATGTCCCCCATCCTCATCCTGCTCCTCGTGCTCATCCTCCTCTTCCTCCCACTCCCGCCCTCCCTCTCCTGCATTTTCCTCCCCTCCTCCTCCTCCTCCTCCTCCTCCTCCTCCTCCTCCTCCTCCTCCCTCCCTCCCTCCCCTCCCTCCCCCTCCCTCCCTCCCTCCTCCCTCCCTCCGTCCCTCCCTCTCTCCTCCCCCCCCCTCCTCCTGCATGCCCTCCCCCCTCCTCCTGCCCGCTCCGCGGGGGGACCGCCGCCGCCCCCCTTGTGGTCGGCTCTGGTTCCGCCGCCGCCCCCGCCGCCGCCCCGCCTCCCCCCACCATTCCCCCCCCCATGGCACGAAGAAAATCACGCCGAGGACGTGGTAGGTGTCCTTCGGGATGGCCCAAGGGGAAAGAGGGGGAGGAGGAGACGGAGAAGGGAGGAGGAGGAGGAGGAGGAGGAGGAGGAGGAGGAGGAGGAAGAGAAAAGAGGAGGAGGATGAAAGGATGAAGAGGAGGAGGAGGAAAAGGAGGAGGAGGAGGAAGAACACGAGAAGGAGAAGAAGGAGGAGGAGAAGGTGGAAGAGGCGAAGGAGGACGAGGAAGAGGAGGACGAGGAAGAGAAGGAGGAGGAGGAGGAGGAGGAGGAGGAGGAGGAGGAGGAGGAGGAGGAGAAGAAGAAGAAGAAGGAGGGGGGGAGGTGGAAGAGAAAGAGATGGAAAAGGGTGTTGAGGAGGAGGAAGGAGGAAGAGGAGGAGGAGGAGGCAGAGGAGGAGGAGGTGGAGGAGGAGGAGACGGAGGAGAAGGAGGAGGAAGAAAAAGATGAGGAGGAGGAGGAGGAGGGAGGAAGAGGGGGGAGGAGGAAACGAGAAGGGGGGGGTGAGGAGGAGGAGGAGGAGGAGGGGGAGGAGGAGGAGAGGAGGAGGAGGAGAAGGAGGAGGAGGAGGAGGGAAGGAAAGAGGAGGAGGATGAAGAGGAGGAGGAGGAGGAGAGGCAAAAGGAGGAGGAGGAAGAACACGAGAAGGAAAAGGAGGAAGAGCAGGAGGTGGAGGAGGCGAAG